CGGTGTGAATTCTGTCTCTCGAATATAGAAATACATCGATCTCTCGATTTACGAACGCTCAATGAAACCAGTTCGTAAGATCAAAATTCGTAAATTGAAAATAAAATTTTAATGAATTTCAATGTAAAAAACGTTGACGGATTACCGACTCCCAGGAAAATCGACAAATATTTTTCCCACATACGTTACAATACTGTGCAGTCATAAACATAAGAATAATATTGACGTTTTATTACAGCCATTACCTAAAACACTTAAAGTGTTAAGCGTTTGCATTGTACAACAGTTACAATGCACACATCAAAACTTGTCTTCATCCGCTTTCATTCCTTACGAAGTTGACTCCTGGCACCATGGACGAAAGTTACTTCTTCTTTGCAACAAAAATAATATTCGTAAATTTTGAAAAATAAATTCACGCGGCTCGTTGTAGCAAAAATTCGTAAATTGATGTTCGTCAATCGAGAGATACGTTTGCTGTATGGATGGAAATGCATGAAAATTCATTACATCAGCTTCTCGGCTTGATCCAACTGTTTCTTAAACAACATTCACTGAATTTACTCTATAAACGAAACCCCATTCTGTAAAGGTAAGTAGCATCACCTTATTTAGACCACAGTCAAAACCTGTTTTAGATTTTTCGAAACACACAAACGACTATTTATGGTCTTACGTAACTTGACGGTGCGTTATTTGTGACTATCAAATAAAAATATTTAATTCTCAGCTTGGCAACAAATAGTGTGACTATCAAATAAAAATACAGTAAAACCTCTCTAGTTGGACACATCCATATCGACTTCTGTTCTTAAGATGGGTGCAACAGTTCTTCCGAAACCTATGAAACATCCCCTGCACAATACTACACGGCGCCACAGCCCAGAAGATCACGATTAAGTAAAATATGGATCGGTTTTATGTGACTGCAGTTTCGGATAAATTCTAGATCATTTAGGAAACTATAAGATTCTCAATACATACACATCATCAGATTCATTCTGTACTCGGTGAGGAAAATCACGAAAACCATCATTCAGAGCGACGGTAGCCGGTTACCCGACCAAGATTCGAACCGAGTAGCTTCGAACACAAGTCGAAAGTATTGGTGCCACACCCACCTGCCTCCAGGCACGACCATTCACAGATCTCTCGCCCTTGGCTCATGCGTGCAGAAAAAAAGAGATCTGCTATTCAAGAGCTAAGAGCTAGGTGAATTGTGAATCGGGGTCATTAGCTTGTCGTTTTGCCTAGTTTGTCACACAAGGCTGAAGAGAGAGACTCCGTTTGTGACCCCCAAACAAAACTTGCTCGGCCTCTGCGTACAGAGAACAATAACAGCCTTACCTCGAGCGAGGTTCGAACCCACGATGAAAATTTCTCACGTTCTCAACCCTTTGAAGCCGAACATTTCTGATACATTTTGCTGGTTTTCCATTGATAAAGGTTTTTAAACTTTGTGGACAAAGTATTTCATGCAAATAAAACTGAAACTTTAATTACGTAATCGTTATTTCGGGTATTTATAAGTTTTTCACGCCACGTTTTCTCATGTCGGACAATTCCGATGTTGATGTAAACAGAGAGAGAGAGAGAGAGAGAGAAGGGAAAATTGGTGGGGGGATGAAGCCGAAACTCGTCTAAATGATATATAAGAATCCAGTCCGTACCGCAAAGAAAAAACCACCTCACCATTACGAAGATTAACTGGTTAACGCTGTTTATGGAGGTAATTGCTGTTTATACCGAGAATCATACAAAATCAATAAGTGCAAAATGTAATTTATTAATTGTTGAACCAAGTGGTACATATACTTACCATTAGGCTGTAAGGATTAAAAGCCAGCCTTTTGGCCTACTCTTAACTGAATATTCATGTCGTGTTTCGACATTGTAGATTCTTCTTCAGGTGCTTTATTTTGTGTCGTCCGTGCAGACCTCCTGTCTATTGTAAGTATAAAACGATCAAACTGTGTCACCATCAGCGTACAGAAATTTGAGCCAACAGCACGCGGCTGTTTAAATAAACGCCACACACAGCAGATTAACAAATGTTCAGTCATGTATCTGCTACGAATATCAGTAGCACGTGGCTTTAAAGGGAATGTTTCGACTGGTGATGTTAATGCCTTGATCTGTACGCACAAATTAATTCAAGGATATTACTGCCATGAAACTGACTATCTTCGCCATAGTTTCATTCCACACCTCTTAAAGACTCGCATTCTTATATTCAGGTTATTTTATTATTTTAAAACAAGCAAACTTTCCGTCAAGAATGACGATAAAATATACATTAATACTGAAAAAGCACATTTGATTCAAAATTCTAAAAAAGTAGCACATAAATATTAAAATCAAGTAATGTTGTGTCATAAATAATACAATAAGATTTAGTGAAGTTCAATCCCAAATATGACGTTCATTTCGAGGTTATAACAAATGAAAATGATGACTTAATTAATGATCGCCATGACGTATCATTACAATGGCATAACACAAAGATTCATTAAACATCATTACACAAGGCCAGAAATCCCGAAAAGCAAACGAGCCAACCAACGAAGCTACCAAAACTTCCTTATTACATATTATTTTAAAACGTATGATTTTATAACTTACATCAGGTCTAAACCTACGTACATTAGACCAGCCAAAATTAAATTAATCTCTGATTAAGACAGACAGGATATAAAATCATGTTGTAAGAGTTTTTACATGACACGACAAAACGAGATACGGGCCGGATGACCGGGGTTCGGATCACGGTAGGGGCAGTAATTCCTTCCCCTGCCACCAGGTCA